AACCAAAAATTGGGAGTCTACAATCCTAGTATCTCTTCCCTCCCCCAAGGTAGCCATCAGCTATATGTACCCTCAAGAGAAATTCATGGTTCCATTGAAGGCATGCAGATTGGGCTCTTCATAAGGTCATAACTTTTCATTCTTCTATTACATCTTCTCAAAGAGATTTGCCTACATAATATTGCATGAACTTCCATCATCAATCAGTATCCTAGATACGTCAAAGTTGGAGATCGCGATCATTATGACCAGGTAGTGATTTCGTTAGGAACTCCTTCTGCATTCTCACTATCATGGAATCCGAGCATATGTCTCTTTGGATTCTTGCTGGAGGTATTCCATTCCTTATTGTTGATGACCATCTGCTCATCGTTCTTTCTCGTTATCGTAGTCTTAGGAGGATTGCTTACTCTTGATGCACCTTTTGTAATGGAAGCAATGTATTGGTGTTTCCCCTTGTGACTATCATCTTCTCCACTACTTGCCTCCTTGCCTTTGATCTTGGTCACTACTTCAACAACTTTCTTATGGGATTTCTTCCTTTTGGGGGAATAATCCCAGCCCCTTTTTCCATCCCTAGTGTACTCAGACTACCACCCATTCTTGATCAATCATTCAATCCCATCTTTCTTATAGGTATAATCATTGGTTTTGTGGTCATGACTCTATGAAAACGACAACGCTTGGATTTATCAACCCAAGCAGATTCCCTGGTTGGATATGGATTCTTTATTTCGGCCTCCTTGAACTCGGCGTTTGCATACTGCTTAAATATGTTTTTCGACAAAGTGTCCAAAGGAGTATACGAGTCAAACCTCGGATGGGGTTTGCGCTTGCTTTCATCTTTCGATTGTCCATAATCCTTGTCTAGTGCTCAGCTAGATCTAATGTGTTCCAGTACTCTGCTTCCTCCATCGACCAACCACTTTTCTTCATAGTTCATGTAGGATTACGCCTCAGTCAACAAGTCCTTCAAGCTGTGGATCTCCTTGCATCCCAACTTTTCCTGGAATGCACAATTCGGACTAAGGTCCTTCTCCAAGACCCAGCATTTTAGGATCTCATTTGAGCTTCCAAAAGCTATTGCCACCTTGGTGAAGCGCTCAATATATATGTGTAAGGGCTCCTTCTTTCCTTGCGTAACCCCGCTAAGAACGGTCATGGTGGTTGGCTGTCTTTTACTGATGGTGAAAATCTTACATAGTTCGGACCAAGAATTTATACTTTCTTCCGATTGGGACTTATATCAACCTTTTCCAAACTATAAAATAGACAGTGATTACTGACAACAACAAGAAACCAATTTATCATTCACTGTGTGGCCTTTCAAACCAATTCATAATTCACTATGTGGCCTTTTTTGTGTGACACGTGAATATTAGTGAAAGAGACAAATCCTGATCAAATATTGAATACATATTCTTTGAAAATTTAAGACGATAAGATGGAATAGGTATAAAATGTTAAATATTTATTCTTTGAAAATATCACACAATAAGTTGGAATAGCTCAGTTGGTTAGAGCGTGTGGCTGTTAACCACAAGGTCGGAGGTTCAACCCCTCCTTCTAGCGTTTTATTTTATTTATATTTTTCATTAATTTTTGCAGGTTTCCTCTTTATTTTATTTGTATTTTTTTCATTAATTTTTGCAGGTTTCCTCTTTATTTTATTTGTATTTTTTTCATTAATTTTTGCAGGTTTCCTCTTTATTTTATTTGTATTTTTTTCATTAATTTTTTGCAGGTTGCCTCTTTCATAATGATCTTAGAGCAAAGCTAGATTAGCAATCTGATTTATAGTATAAACACATTCTCAAGTATTATGTCGTAAGGTAGGAGTCCTTGCAACCTAACTAAGTAGGTTAATACCCTAACAAAATTATATGTTGCCACTAAGATCACTTTTTTTAGTCGTACGCCTATGGTATTGTGACAGCACCCCTGAGTCTTTGTTAAGGGGCTTCTATCTCTCTGGTTGTCCTCAGAATCATCTTTACCTTCCATAATCATACAGGAAAAAGATAAGTTAATGAAGGAAAATTCCTATAATTGAATGAGTTTAATACACTTTAATTTTTATAAAATAACAAATAAGAAACTAAATTTAACATAACCTTTTTAGAATAATCGTTGCTTGTTAGTCTCGTAACAAAAGTTATTTGAATCAGTCAAGATCAACCACTTCTTTTTGCTTGGTCCAAACGACTTGCTTTACTCAGAGTATATCTGATGGTTGCGTTCCAGCTGCACAATCTAAGAGGCCATATTGATTTATATGGTTTTGGCTTCACCCTCTTTCGAATCTTCTTGCAAGGCCTTGTAGATTATTTTCTCTCTCGGAAGATTAGCATTGATCATTTTTGGCTCATTGTGAATGTTGTGGTACTTCAACTTGAGGTGAATCGGGGAAGCCACCACGTCCAAGGTTGCTACAAAGGGTAGACTCGGGATGCAGGTTTACAAGCTCTTACAAGGAACGACCAAAAATTGGGAGTCTACAATCCTGGTATCTCTTCCCTCCCCAAGGTTGCCATCAGCTATATGTACCCTCAAGAGAAATTCATGGTTCCATTGAAGGCTTGCAGATTGGGCTCTTCATAAGGTCATAACTTTTCATTCTTCTATTACATCTTCTCAAAGAGATTTGCATACATAATATTGCATGAATTTCCATCATTAATCAGTATCCTAGATACGTCAAAGTTGGAGATCGCGATCATTATGACCAGGTAGTGATTTCGTTAGGAACTCCTTCTGCATTCTCACTATCATGGAATCCGAGCATATGTCTCTTTGGGTTCTTGCTGGAGGTATTCCATTCCTTATTGTTGATGACCATCAGCTCATCGTTCTTTCTCGTTATCGTAGTCTTAGGCGGATTGCTTACTCTTGATGCGCCTTTTGTAATAGAAGCAACGTATTGGTGTTTCCCCTTGTGACTATCATCTTCTCCACTGCTTTCCTCCTTGCCTTTGATCTTGGTCACTACTTCAACAACTTTCTTAGGGGATTTCTTCCTTTTGGGGGAATCATCCCAGCCCCTTTTGCCATCCCTAGTGTACTCAGACTACCACCCATTCTTGATCAGTCATTCAATCGCATCTTTCATCTAGGTACAATCATTAGTTTTGTGGTCATGACTCTATGAAAACGACAACGCTTGGATTTATCAACCCAAGCAGATTCCCTGGTTGGATATGGATTCTTTATTTCGGCCTCCTTGAACTCGGCGTTTGCACACTGCTTAAATATGTTTTTCTGCAAAGTGTCCAAAGGAGTATACGAGTCAAACCTCGGATGGGGTTTGCGCTTGCTTTCATCTTTCGATTGTCCAGAATCCTTGTCTAGTGCTCAGCTAGATCTAATGTGTTCCAGTACTCTACTTCCTCCGTCGACCAACCACTTTTCTTCATAGTTGATGTAGGATTACGCCTCAGTCAACAAGTCCTTCAAGTTGTGGATCTCCTTGCATCTCTACTTCTCCTGGAATGCACAATTCAGTCTAAGGTCCTTCTCCAAGACCCAGCATTTTAGGCTCTCATTTGAGCTTCCAACAGCCATTGCCACCTTGGTGAAGCGCTCGATATATGTGTGTAGGGGCTCCTTCTTTCCTTGCATAACCCCGCTAAGAACGATCATGGTGGTTGGCTGTCTTTTACTGATGGTAAAAATCTTACATAGTTCGGACGAAGAATTTATACTTTCTTCCGATTGGGACTTATATCAACCTTTTCCAAACTATAAAATAGACAGTGATTACTGACAACAACGAGAAACCAATTTATCATTCACTATGTGGCCTTTCAAACCAATTCCTAATTCACTATATGGCCTTTTTTGTGTGACACATGAATATTAGTGAAAGAGACAAATCCTGATCAAATATTGAATACATATTCTTTGAAAATTTAAGACGATAAGCTGGAATAGGTATAAAATATTAAATACTTATTCTTTGAAAATTTAACATAATAAGCTGGAATAGCTCAGTTGGTTAGAGCGTGTGGCTGTTAACCACAAGGTCGGAGGTTCAACCTCTCCTTCTAGCGTTTTGTTTTATTTGTATTTGTTTCATTAATTTTTGCCTCTTTATTTTATTTGTATTTTTTTTCATTAATTTTTGCCTCTTTATTTTATTTGTATTTTTTTTTTCATTAATTTTTGTCTCTTTATTTTATTTGTATTTTTTTCAATAATTTTTTTTTTAGATTGTCTCTTTCATAATGATTTTAGAACAACGCTAAATTAGCAATCTGATTTATAGTATAAACAAGTTCTCAAGTATTATGTCATAAGGCAGGAGACCTTACAACCTAACTAAGTAGGTTAATGCCCTATATGCTGCTACTAAGATCAATCACAAACAATAGCATTTCTTGCAATTTAACTAGTGTTCTTGGTTGCCGTCTAAAACTATAGATACAGTCATGTTAAATAGTCTTGAATAAGAGTCAGGTCACCTATGTAGTCCTACATAACTCTTGTCTTTACAAACAATTATGTACATAAAACTTGGTTTAATTAGTAAAAAAAAATTCTAAAATTTGTATTAAATTTAGTTTTAAACTAAACAATTGCGTGCGTTTTTATAAAATAACAAAATAATTAAATTAGTTCCAAAAATTAGTCGTTTCTAACTAACCTTTCATCTTCTATCGATTGAAAGATTTTTAGACATCTAAACAAAACATTTTCCAAGAGTAAACAGAACTTGGAACTCTCGTTTATACTGAAAAAGATTAAATATGCTATGTCCAAGAATTTAAGCAACATATTTCAAAACTTCTTTAGAACTGCTCCCTAACTCACAACAGAACCATTGTCTAAGAGGCATTACACCAAACATTCACCCAAAAATTTGTGCAAAAGCTACAACATTCAACTCAAATTAATGGTCACAAGGCCACTGGTAACTTGAGCCTTATACAGGAAACTAATATAGCCATAAATGTTAAACCGAAAACAAAACAAAAAAAACATGAGTGCAAACATTGATAGAATCACTCTTCCATGAGAGGATTCTCTTCTGATTGTTGTTGGGAAACCTTGACTTTGACCTTCTCCTGTTGTAATGCGGAAGGAGCTTTGACCATATGGATGCTCTGCTCGTACTCCTTTTCTGCCTCTTTCTGCACTTTCGCCTTGTTGCCTTTCATCCTGTTGAAGTTTTTACAAATTGTCAGAGCAAACCAATCAAAAGAGAGCTGTTGTTTTGACAAACTAAAACCAGACAGCTTAGTTGACACAGTGTAAATATAGCATGATAAGTGTTGACATTAAACCCGAGGAGAGGAGGAAAAAAAAATCAAAATCAGAAACTAAATACAAGTAGAAGTCAAAGAAAGACCTGTTCTTATGGTGTCTCTCCTCCCTGCTAACTCTGATTTTATCGATCTTAGGAATGGCCTTGAGTACACTATCAGCAAGATTCCTGTCATATCTCTCAGGCCTGTTTCGCTTTCTCTCAAACTCAAAGGTTGAATCCTAAAATAGTAAGATAAAACAGTTCAGAAATATGTTCAAATCAAGACAATAAAATTAAACAGATATGTAATTTCAAAGATATAACCTGCGTCATATCCTTCCCATGCACGCGCCTATATGCCTTGGTCCATTTTACTTTACGAGGATTCCTCTTCATTTTGAAGTTCTTGTGGCATTTTGATCTACAAAACCGAAAAATCTGCACAAAATATTGGATGTCAAATATCAAAACAATAAGCTTGTAATAAAATAAATTTAACAATGGTGGGCTAGCTCATTCTTCCATTGATGCATTTATCAGCTCAACTAACTAGTGCGGACTGTCAAGATGTGATATGCAGGTTCTGACAGCCCTTATTTCTAATGTATACTGGGGCCGCTCTCATGTGGGCTGGTGCATTTATCAGCTCAACTAACTAATGCAGACTGTCAAGATGATTTGCAGTTTCTGACAGCCCCTATTTCTAATGTGCGTTGGGGGCTATGAAGCATAGACTCCGACACGAACACCGGGACACGACATGAAACGGACACTCTGACACCAATATGTCAAAAACATAAAATATTGACACCGCAACATATATGATGGTATTTGTACTTCATTTATCCATTTATTATTAAAAGAGTTAAATTAAAAATATCTTAATCAAAATTATTGCCTTTAATTTTTCATTAATAACATTGCTTCAATACATGTTAAACCCTTTTAGATGTGCGAGATTTTTATAAAAAAATGTATAAGGGGTGTTGAAGCATACAAAAATAAATTATTTTTTAAACACCAAACTAAATTGTTCAACATGTATTGTATGAGTGTCATACGGGTGTCATGTGAGACACCGATTTAATACGTAAGCAAAGAAAAAAAAAAACATTTATTTGGGAACACTTGTCTGACTTTTCCAACATGTGGTGTCGTGTACAAGTGTTACCGCGACACACCTACTCCAAGAGTTGTCTGTGCTTAGGTTGGGAGTACTCGTCTGTTATAACAGCTGCAAAATGACTCAGATCTAGCGTTAAAAATCAATTAAAAATTTGCAAAGGATCTGCTCTTCTTAAACTTGATCGCAGTATCATAGAAATCAAAGCCATCTTGGATCAGCAACACACTTATATAGGGTTCATTATTTAGGATTGTCTCAATTAGTTTACCAGTTTTCAAAGGATACAAGTTTCTCATACTAGGTGTGTTGCTAATCAATCGGCACATTATTTAGCAAGATTTTCTATTACCAATTCTGATAAGTTCGGATTGAAGAAACTCCCCTATTTGTATTTATCTCTTATTCTTCCGGTTTAAATGCCACACTAAGTCAAATGAAATACATTCTCACTTACAAAAAAACGACGGGGCCTCACTTTTATAAATGTGTTAGGGACTGCAACGAAGGCAAGCCAAAGTGCCATAACTAAGGCAACTAGGGGCGGACCACAATAAAGGCGGAAAGTCCAACACGCCCCCTCACGCTTGGGTCTCAATGAGCCCGAAGCGTGGACGGCGCGGGAAGCCCAACAATGGATCTAGGATAGGCTCTGATAACATCTCAGAATTTGGGTTGGGCCTAATTCATCCCTACAAACTGGCATGTAGGGTGAGGATTGCCCCCACTTATAAACACAACACATGTCATATCTCCTAACAATGTGGACTAAATTCACTCTTTCAAAGCCATTCAAAGCCAACAAGATGAAGGTGTTAGGGACTACAATGAAGGCAAGCCAAAGTGCCATGAAGGTGTTAGGGACTACAATGAAGGCAAGCCAAAGTGCCGCAATTAAGGCGACAGAGGCAGACCGCAATTAAGGCGGAAAGTCCAACATTAACTTTTTTTTAATTGAAGACATAAATTCATGAAGCTAAAATGAACGAAACCATAAAGAATTTCAAAAATAAGTAGTGAAATTAAAATTACCTTTGCATCATTGCGAACAAACTGGATTCCATGACCAGGGTATACAGTTGAAGAACAGAACCAGCATTTCTCCAATCTCATTGTTCCTCCAAACTAGATAAAACACTTAACTGAAAAAAATAGTCCAAATTCAAAATTAATAATAAATAAATTTCATTGCACAAAATCAACAAAGGATAGATATAATGAAGCATAATGCTAGAAATTAAACTAGTTATATAATGAAACTACTGCAACTACAAGAAAGAAAGAAAAAACCTAATCAGTTGCATAACCTAAAAGGAATTAACAAATTAAAGTATCAAAAATGCAATTAAATCAACAAGTATTTAGCTGCTACTACTACTATTACTACTGGCATCATATGAAACGGCGCCGTTTTGGTGAAAATTTGTTTAGCCTTTTTGCAAGGGCAAAATAGCGATGAAATCGCATCCTCGCGCATGAAAAGGGGAGGAATTTTGACAAAAATGAAAACGGAGAAATAATTACTCACTGTTTCCGTTCCGATGACCGACGATGAAGCTGCGCTGCGTTGTCCGGTAGTTGAGTTATGCGACTTGAGCTTGTTTATATATGCGAGGGTGAAACGAAGAAATTGTTGTTTTGATGGAGCTGTTAATTTTTTTATTTTGTTTTAGGGTTTAAATTTTGAGATTTATACTATTCGAAAAAGTTATATTCTCAATTAGTGTATTTTAACTAAATTATTTTGTATTAATGGTAAAAAAAAAAAAATTGTTCCCTACGCCAGGTGGATTAGGGTAAAGACTACGGAACAGTTGGATTAGGGTGAAGACTGCGTACGGGTCTTTCTTACGTCACGTAGACCTTGACAATTACTTGTGTTGGGTCTGACAATTCAGCCCAATACAATATAATCGTTGGCTCAGCGCTAAGGACACACTATATATACCCTTTTTCACTAGAGGGTCATGTATTATGAATTCTACACTTTCTTTCTATACTTGTTATCTCTCTTACTCCGTTTCTCACTTTACCATCGGAGTACCTTGCAGGTACACCCCTTCTTCTTCTCCAACACCGGTGAACAAAGGAGCTCACGACGCGTGGCTGGCTGTTAATCCCTTTTTGGTCCAGTAAGATCAGTGGCGCCGTTTGAGAGAACTTTTGCTTCCCCGTTCTTTCTCCTATAGAAACTCAAGAACCAAAGTAGTTCACAACCTCTATTGATCATGGTCATCCTACGCATTGACGACAATGCTCTAGAAACCGTCTTCATTTTGTTCACCAACGGTGACGGCCATGACCCCAACGTGAACGTTCACGTCGAAGAGGGCGACCCCAGGGACGGGCACACCGCCTCTCCCTCCTCGGACAACGTGACCTACAACGCTGCCTGATGCTTCGACAATCCAGTTGTCTTTCAACCAATTCATGTGCCCACCAACGTCAATCCGACCATGGTGGCTCTATTCGCGGCAATCAATCAGACAAACCTGATGATTTTTTAATAGAACGAGCGAATCGAAATGTTGGAGAAAGACCGACAATCACTCTTTTCCCCTGAAGACATCGTCGCCCATTTTCTCGCAGCCCGTCCCCCGACGACAAGAGACCCAGCATTCCCCTCCTCCGCGGAGGCTGTAGCATGAAGAATCACGAAGCACGTCTCCTCGAAAACAAGGGAATCGCCCACGACTAGAGAGACCTCAAGTCGTGGTCACTCAAAAGCGCAACCGCTCTCCTCGCCGAAAGGAGCGACATTCCCCCACTCATAAGAGGAATAAAGTTGACGGACACGTCGAGAAGTCAAAGAGCCGGCCAAGGAGCAGAAACGACTAAGGCGGCATTTCCCCATCTCGATCACCTGTCAGGAGCGACGAGGACGACCAACGCACACCGCTCTCCAGGACCATCATGGAGACTCCCTTGCACGTCGTGATGGAAAAACCCCCGCCCTTGGCGAAATATAATGGTACGACCGACCCGGACGACCACATTGAAAGCATCAATGCGATACTCGACTATCGAAACGTCCGGGGAGCCATCAAGTGCAGGCTCTTCCCTAGTACCCTAAGTAAGGGTGTTATAGCGTGGTACAAGAGCCTCGTGCCTAAGTCCATCACCTTCTGGAAGAAGCTAAAGAGGAAGTTCTCCAGGCACTTCACCGCTTCCTGACACCTGTTGATACTGGTAAAACAGCAAGCAAAAAATATTAAGTACTCAGTTTTGTCGTCTCCACAAGAATTAGTACGATATGAATGCTGTTCAACGATTTCTACATTTCTAAGCTTAATTTCAAAAGGTTTGGTTTAAAAGGTTCAAAGAACCATAGATAAAAATAGAAAATATAAAATAAAGACTGAAATATAAACGGAGCCTTGTTGGGATTGGATTTCATCAATTGATAACACATGCATTCTTCTGATCAAATTAAACACAACGCAACCATTCGTCTAATATCATCATGTATCACTCACGACAAAGTTTATCTCTAACGCGGCGTCGAGAGAAAAACCATGTTGTCTCATTGGTGATCACTCACCCAACAAAAACACAACACAGAGCATTAAGATCTAATACTCACGCAAATGCTAAGCCTAAATCTATCTCTAGAATTTAGGACCTAACAGGAAATCATCCTAGATCCAGATCTGAAGAGTATATCTCTATCACGGTTCAAATCAAAGATAAACAAGAAAGCAAAGATAACACCCATATCAGATAAACAATGGTTTTGCATAAAATACAATGATCAAAATACGTACACACGCTTAATGTAACACCCCACTTTCCCAAATTAAATAAAATATGAATATTAAAATAATAATCAGAGTTTTCACCAAAAAGTGGGATATCACATCTCCAAATTTTATAAAAATACTTTATTCATTCTTTTCAAAATAATAGAGCGGAATTTGTTTCATAAAGTAAAATACATCAAATTCATGATACGACACAGGAAAAAGAAATAAGTTCAACATAGACACAACAAAACACCCAAGTCTCGTGCTACGTATCAGAGCATCCTAGACTCGACTGACACACCACCATCCAAGCTATCTAAGTACCTGGATTATCTGTACTTCCGGAGAAGCACAGACACAACAACAGCAAAGGGGTGAGAAATCATGATCAAAATATAATGGTAATGTAATACATGTAAATAAGGCAGTAAAACACACCAACACATCAACTATTCACCCCAACAACACCATATAACGAACCTACTGTTCAAATTACAATATAACATATTATAATGCAATTATGCAACACAACACCATGCATGCGGTACCGACTCATTGATTCATTCAATCGAACCTGGATAGATCACTTACGCTCCTCCTGAGACATGATCTATCCCTCACCATTCTCCACAAAGGAGTACGGATGAATCACTTACGCTCCTCCTGAGACATGATTCATCCCACCAAAACACCATGATATGCACACACCAATGCATAACTATCATAATTAGGCACTCAAAGTGCACACGATCCTCCTGATCATATCATCATACATCAATGCATATATGTACAGATATAACATACACCAACACCGTATAGATCAATCAGATAGTAAACAACTTCATACTATAACACCAGATATAACCACATCCCAACACTCGGGAACGCACGATCCTACTGATCACTACATATATATACATTAACTAATTGTTCACCAATAATATCAAGGAAAATGAGTACCATCACCAAGTAAACAAGTTCATACTTTATCACCAAGATATAAACACGTCCCACCACTCGAGAATACACGATCCTACTGATCACTACACTATGCTCCGCATGATTCATACACCAACTAATTATCCATTTAAATAATTAGTAACGGAAATCACATACTATCACCGAGTACTCACTCTATAACACTCAATCATCTCCCCTATAATCAACAAAGTCCAAGGGCACTACACTCTTAGCGCACACAACATAACAGCATAGAAAAACCACATTCTGCTACGCTCGCTACACCCTCGCTAGGCGAGCTCCCAGCGAATGCTCGCTACCTGTTCGCTTAGCGAACCTCCTCGCGAATGACAGCAGTGGCTACTGTAATGATTCGCTATCCAACTCGCCACAGCGAATACTCGCTACCTGTTCGCTTAGCGAACCTCCTCGCGAAGGCAAACAGAACCTACTGAACTCACTCGCTACCTCACTCGCTAGGCGAGCACCTAGCGAACGCTCGCTGCCTTCTCGCTAAGCGAAGTGCTAGCGAGTTGCCTGCGACTTCTCAAGTTCTCACAGTTCAGAATTCTCACTCTTCTCCGATTCAAGCCTATTCTATAACATCCACTTCCTATACTATCCGTATTACGACCAATGCATATTAGGCTTATCAATCTTCCTATAATTCTACTCCAGATCAACATTACGGCACACTGCCGGCACTTTAGAGTTACTCTGAACCTTACTCAAAACAAACCAACACCAACAGTCAATCAACAATGTCAACATCAAACATCCGTACATCATCATATACATATTATTCCAAAGTCATCACTTAAACAATCTATCGACACATCAAAAAGGTCACACAGAACTTCCCTAAAACCGTAAACCCAACCTATACGCCAAATTAACCAAAAACAACAATTCACCAACCATTAACATATTTCAATCCATCAACATCAACATAACTCAACAATCAATAGCATGTCAATATAAAACTTCATCAACGATACATTCCTATAGGGTTAAGGAATCCCCACTACCCTATACATGTATATACCATTCCCAATCAAGTTTCTCCCCCCTTACCTTATTAATCGGTTGATCGATGAAATTCTTCCTGGATTTGGTCTCTTGGCCTCCTCTTTTCTTTCCGTTCTTCGTTCCCTTTTTCCTTCGTTCTTCTCACTTCTGTCGTTCTTTCCTCTTCTCTCTTTCTATCGCTCTTTCTCTCTTCCCTCTTTCTATCGTGTTATTTTCTCTAATACTTCCCCCACCCCTTCATATTCTATTTTCCTTTTTATTTCCTATCCCAATAATAATAATAACTAATAAAAATAACATAATAATAATAATAATAATATTAATAATAATAATAATAATATTATTATTATTATCACACCAATTTCCCACGATCTATGGTAA